GCCCAGAACCCCTCCCCAGGACACCCACCCAACCCTGCCCACGGGTCTGGCCCCACCACAGGGCATTGGGGCCCTTGTTCCCACAGAAACGAGGCGCCCTGGACAGGCTCTTGGAAATGTAAATCCATAATTGAATCACCCATCTCATTCTGGCCGGTTTTGTTTGTGCTGTGCTCCCCCCTGGGCTGACAGTGGGCTTCCTGTGGGTAATTACCAGGCAGCACTTGAGAATTCTCATTAAAGGTAATGAGGGCCATGCTGCCAGCACTGAGTGCTGGGCAGGAGTGGGCACGGCAGGCTCGGGGCTCCCCTCGATCCGTCCCTGCCCAGAGCGTGGGAGAGCACGGGTGACGCTGCTGAGTTCTGCTGCTGCAGGACCCCAGGGTGGAAATGAGCTCACTCCATGGCACAGCAGCTCCCAGGACATCTCCTGGGGGCACGGGGCAAGCAGGAGAGGGGGTCAGCACAGCCTGTGCCATGGGGTGTCCATGTCACCGGTACTGTGGGGCACCTCCTCACCCTAGCCCTGCCACAACGACCCCCTGCCCTGCCCATCCTCCTGTTGTTTCTCCCTCCAGGTTTGGGTGGATGCTGCTGCACAAATTTTCTTCTCCTTGGGCCCTGGATTTGGAGTCCTCCTTGCTCTGGCCAGTTACAACCATTTCCACAACAACTGCTACAGGTAAGGAGGGTCCATCCCAGCAGGCAGAGCTGCAGTGGAGATATGTCCTGGCAGCTCCTGGTCCCCACTGCCACATCCCAACAGCTCCTGGTCCCGTGGCTGCAGGCTGGGCACCTCTCCCCATTTCCCTGATGGTTTTGGTGGAAGGGGCAAGGAGAGGGAACTGGAGTACGGGAAGGCCAGGACAGCTGGAGCAGGGTGAGAGCTGGCCTGGAGCGGGGTTTCTCCCTCTTTTCTGCCTTCCAGGGATGCACTCGTCACCAGTGCTGTGAACTGCCTCACCAGCTTCCTCTCAGGCTTTGTCATCTTCACCGTGCTGGGCTACATGGCCGAGATGAGGGATGTGGAGGTGGAGGATGTCGCCAGAGATAAAGGTTCTCCTCCCTCCAGCAGCCTCTTCCCCGAATCCCCACCCTCAGGGCTGTGCCAGGGAACAGCCAACCAAGGCAGTGCCCCCTCCTAGGGCCCAGCCTCCTCTTCATCACCTACCCTGAAGCAATCGCCAACATGGTGGGATCCACCTTCTTCGCCATCGTTTTCTTCCTGATGATGATCACCCTGGGGCTGGACAGCACGGTAGGAGCGGGACAGCCCAGCTGTGTCCCCAGCAGGGACCAGGGGTGGCCATGTCCCATGGCTGATAGTGAGGTGACAGTGGGTGAGGGGAGTTATGGCCTTGGGAAGGGCTGGGATGGGATGGAAAGAAGGGATGGGACATCCCCATTCTGCCATGTGGATTTTCTTGGAGAGCAGGACTGTCCCCACATCCCATTTCCCCACCCCATGCCAGCATTTCCTTTGCAGTTTGGAGGCTTGGAGGCCGTGATCACGGCCGTGATGGACGAGTACCCCCAGGTCCTGGCAGGGCGACGGGAGCTCTTCGTCCTTGGCCTCATCACCGTCTGTTTCCTGGGCTCCCTCAGCACCCTCACCTACGTGAGTTCCACTGGCACCACCCCGCCCTGGCCCCCCACATCCCCTCCTTCACCCCCGTGGGGTCTGCAGCCTCCCCCTCCTCGTGCTGCTCCAGGGGGGAGCCTACGTGGTGAAGCTGCTGGAGGAGTTTGGTGCTGGCTGCTCCATCCTGGCAGTGGTGCTCCTGGAAACCATCGCTGTCTCCTGGTTTTATGGTAAGAAACTGCCTCTGTCGTGGAAAACACCCCGTGGGCACCTGCACGGGTGTGTGACCCTGCACAGGTGAGTAAATCCCGGGCGCTGGATCCCGTGTGGGGCTCCTGGCCAGGCTGGGATGGGAACAGAGGGCGTTGTGTCCGTGTGGATATCCCTGAACCCACGTCCCCAGTGGGATCCCTGGGCTCTGAGGGCTCTCTCCTCCGGCAGGGATCCAGAGGTTCTCCCACGATGTCAAAGCCATGCTGGGCTTCACCCCGGGGCTCTTCTGGAAGCTGTGCTGGGTCGCCATCAGCCCGGCCCTGCTGGCAGTGAGTATCCACGGCGGAATTACAGACAAGGTCATCTCTGTCCCTCTGGACACCTCACAGGACAGCCACTCCCCTCTGCTGCCCAGCTCCCCGTGCCATGGATAACTCCCCTCTGACTCACATGAGGTCACCAAGCTGCCAGGAGACCACTCTGGGGTCACACAGGGCTGTGGGAGCTCATGCCAGCCCTCCCCGTGCTGCTGCTCCAGCCACGGGCATCACCACAGTGCCCACAGCCCCTCACCGAGAAAGGGAGCTGGAAGTTCATTTTCCAGCCTTTTCCACAGCTCCAGGGCAAAGCTGGGTGCTCACACCGCCGCAAGCTCAGCTTTGTCTCATCCTCCCAGCACGCAGCATCCCTGGCAGGGCCGGCCACGGGTCCATCTCCCGTGTGCTGGGCTGGATCCGTCCCTTTGAAATGCCAGCTCCCACGGCACTTCAAAGGCTGCCGTCGGCAGAGGGGTCTAATCTCACCGGATCTGCAGGAGAAGAGGCCTTGTGAGGATTAATTATGGCTCTAAGCACTTTGCCCTGGTTATTAAGAGAGGAGTATTATCATCAAAGCACACGGCAAACGGGTTTGTTTCAGCACGGGGCTGAGCAGCCCTCGAAGGCTGCCGGCTCACGGGGCTGGTTGGACAGAGCCCTCACCCAGCCAGGGCTGGCAGCCTGGGAGATGTCCCTGTGATGTCCGTGCTGGCTGGGATTTGGGACGACAGGGAGAGCAGCAGGACGTGGATGGTGTTCATAGAATCATGGAATCACAGAATGGTTTGGGTTGGAAGGGACCTTAAAGATGCTTTTGTTCCTTGTACCCTGATAACCTGTGGGGTGAGCTGCCACCAGTGCCAGGGCTGGGGAGACCAGAGAATTATTTAGGTTTTAAAATTATTTATTTAGGGTTTAAAAGCCCTCTAAGATCAAAGAGTTCAAGCATTACCCAGCACTGCCAAGGCCACCACAAACCCACGTCCCCACATCTACACATCTGTTAAATCCCTCCAGGATGGGGACTCCAGCACTGCCCTGGGCAGCTGTGCCAGGGCTGCACAGCCCTTTTGATGAGAAAATTCTCCCTGATGTCCAACATAACCTGGCACAACTTGAGGCTATTTCCTTTGCTTCTGTCCCTTGTTCCCTGGGAGCAGAATCCAACCCCCACCCGGCCACCCTCCTGTCAGGGAGTTGTGGGGAGACAGAAGATCCTCCCTGAGCCTCCTTTTCTCCAGGCTGAGCCCCTTTCCCAGCTCCCTCAGCTGCTCCTGGTGCTCCAGCCCCTTCCCCAGCTCTGCTCCCTTCTCTGGACACGCTCCAGCCCCTCAATGTGTGTCTTGGTGAGAGGGGCCCAAACTGCTCACGGGGCCCCTGTGGCTCTTCTCGTCACAGTTCATAGTCATCAGCTCCCTCCTGGAGCAGCCACCCCTGACCCTCTTTGACTACCAGTACCCCGAGTGGAGCATCTCCGTGGGATTCCTCATCGGAGCATCGTCCTTCATCTGCATCCCCCTCTACATGGTGTACAAGCTCGTCTGGACGCCGGGGTCCCTCAAGCAGGTCAGGAGGGACAATCCCACGGCTCCTGGGTGGGCTGGGGTGGGCAGGGACCCCACTCGGGTCAGGTGCTTGACGCATCCTCAGCGTCTTGGCGTGGCAATGAAATCCCACCGGGAGAGCTGCCTGGGAAGGGCTCGGAGGGAAAGCCGCTGTGCTCTGTCTCTCGCTCAGCGCCTCGCCGTCTGCATTCGGCCCGAGAAGATCTCCAGAGCCCCCCAGGCAGAGGGGGTGGGCATGGCCCCCGTCCTCTAGCACGGCCGGGGGACACGGAGACCGCTCTGGCTCCCTCCTTGGGGCAGCTGCCATCGCCCTCCTCGGCACGGAGCGGAGCTGGCATCTCCACGGGCACACCGGTGGCAGAGGAGCAGAGCCCGTTCTCGCTGCCGGCAGGAAAAGCGGCGATCCACGGCAGGGAGAACGGGACCGGCACTGCTGGGGCCCGGGGGCTGGCAGCCAAGGGGCCAAGGAGAGCCCCAGTTCCCGCAGCGGATGGAGGGATTGCCTCGCTCGGAGGTGCCCGCGGCCCCCCCACCCCCGTGCATGTGTGTAGCTGTGAGTGTTTGGAAAATAAAGCTGATGCCGATGCTCGGAGATGAGGGGAGGGAGAGGAGCCGCAGCTCGCCGTGCTGTGTTCGTGGAGCGCCGAGCTCGGGCTGGGCATGGGGACACGGGGGGCTGTCGCTGTCCCGGCACACTTTGTCCTGCTACAAAGATCCAAAGTCCGGCCGAAGAATTGCCCGAACCCCGGGGTGGGTCCCAGGTGCTGCTGAAGCCGGACAGGTCGGTGTCTCCTGCCGCCCCATCCCGGGGGATCCAGGGAATAGGCATTTGAAGAGGGAAAGACCCTAATACATCTCATTTTAAAACCGAATTTGGGTCGGGGTGAGGCATCCCTGGGCTGGTGTGAATCAGCCACCTGCCGTGGCTTCCCCGTCCCGTCGCTCCCAGTGCAGCATCACCGTGTTCCTCGGTGTTTGGGGGCCTATAAAACACCTTAAAGAACCCACGTTCTTGGGCTGGGGGAACACACAGGGCTTGGAGGAACACCACGGGGCTGGGGCGGGGAGAAGATGCCCACGGGGGTGCAGGGACACGCGGGGTGGACACGCGGGTCTCCCCCGGCCGGGCGCGGGGCGCTCCCGGTGCCGCTCCCGGTTCCGTTCCCGGTGCCGCTCCCGGTGCCGCTCCCGGTGCCGCTCCATCGCCCCGCTCCCCCGGAAGGCCGGTCCCGGGGCGGGGCGGGCGGCAGGAAGGGGCAGGGCCGGGCCCGGCGCACAAAGCCCGGGGACCGGCGGGCTCCGTGCTGTGTCGCCATGGGGCTGGCGGCGGCGCGGGGCTGGGCGCTGTCCCCGCTGTCGCCGGGCCCGGCGGAGCGCAGCCGGCCCTACGCTGTGCTGCAGCACCAGAACCTGGGTGAGGAGCGGGGGGCAGCGGGTACAGCCTCGCCACGACCCGGCCGGGGGCTCGGGAGTTGGTCAGGGAGTGTTTTATTAATGTTCTTTCTCTTCCCGCCGCAGTGCTGCTGGGCAGCATCCTCAGCGCTCTCCTGCTCACCATCATCCTCATGGCCATCTGTGTCTACCGGCCCGTCCGGCGGCGGTAGCGGAGCGGGATCCGCCGGGGCACCGAGAGAATGCTGCATCCCACCTGGTTCTCCCCCCTGGCATCCACCATCCCAGCACCGCTTCAGTCCTGCCGGTTCTCCCGTCTGGTACCCGGTACCATCCCGGTTCCATCCCGGCGCTGCTCCGGACCCAGCAGGTTCTCCCGTCCGGTCCCCACCGTCCTGCCGCCCCTCCCGTCAGCTGCTGGGGATGCCCTGAGGATGCGAGTGTGGCTTTTCACCCATCTCTGCCCGTGCTCTATCACATGGCTCCATCGTGATGTGGCTTCCAGCAGTGGTCAGGCCGGGTGCTGGAAACCACCCCCTCCCTGAGCAAACACTCCTGGAGCTCCTGGGGGTGTGTCCGCAGCGAACCCATCTGGCTCGGAGCGGGTCTGGAGCAACGCGCCTGCCTCCCAAATCCCAGCGTTTTGGCGAGGCTGGTCTCACACGGTGTGCTCGACAGCATCCCCGGGGCCTGGGTTGTCACCAGAACAGGGCGAGATTGGGGACATGGCCCGAGGAGCAGCTCCACGTGCTCGCTCACACCACGTCTACTTTTTGCTTTCTGATTAATTCAGGTCCTTGTTTGAACGCTGAGTCCTGGGGGTGGGACGGGGCTTGGAGCAACCTGGGGTAGTGGAGGGTGTCCCTGTCATGGCAGGGAGTAGAACAGGATGAGCTTTAAGGTCCCATTCAAAAATATTCCAAAGGTAAGAGCTCAGTGACCCACTCAGCAGTGGGTGGTGGGGTCTGGTCCGTTCTTGCTTCTGAGCAGAAACACTGATATATGCCCTGATCCTGGTGTAGTTTTCCAGGGCCAGGCTTCTCCTTCCCAACTTTATTTGCTTTAACTCTAAAGTTAATATTTGCTTTGGGGCTAAAAAGCCCCAAATAGCCTCCCATCAAAGCAGGCCTGCTGAACCTGGTGTGCAGGTGAGGGATTCCAGCACGTGCTGGTCACTGTCCTCCTGGAAACAGGAGCCTCCAAAGGTCTGCAAGCCAGGCAGAGGCTCTGGAAGAGTTTGAGCTCCAGCCAGACCCATTTTACGCAGTTTCAGTAACAAGCGTTTACACTGAATCCCACTTCCATACAAATGCTGCTATTTTGTTTTGCACTGCTACAAGTAGTAACTGGATTTTACTAATTATTAGATATTTAACACAGGGGTGGTTTTGCTTAGTAATTTATTTAGAGTTTTAAAATGTAACTTCCAGAAAGATTGGCGATGTGTTCTCAAGCCCTTGGGCTGCATCCAACGTGTTTTCCTTTCTGTTTGAAGGACACCAAGTGCTGGAATTGAACAGGGATTTTCTTTCTGTCTTGTGAAATGACAGTGAGCCTGGCCTTGAACAGATGGAGTTGTTAATCCAAGAGTGAGGCAGCAGGGCAGCACTGTTCTATTGCTTTCTGCTCCTCCTATTGCTCACTGATTCCTGTGTTCCTGATTTTTCTCGGTCCTTCATCGCTGTGAAGCCTGGCCTGCAGCCCGTGCTGCTCGTGGGGGTGGATGGTGAAGCTCCCAGCCCCAGCTCTGCATTCTCGGGAGCAGAATTCCTGTTTGCTCTCATTCCTCACTCCCAGCTATGCCTCTTTGTACAAATAAAACGCTCAGTAAACAATCCAGGCTCTTACTTATTCATGGTTGTGCTGTTTGCTATTAACAAGTCTGGAGCCCCACAAAGGATTGAGGCTGTCCCAATTCCCTCTGGTCCCCTCGTGGTTCCCACCTTGTTTTTGGTGGGATGGCAGTGCTGGGGGAAGCCAGGGAACAGGATGACAGTGCTGGGGGAATGTTTCCATGAATGTTTGAGCCCTTTAATAGCACAACAGAAGCGCATCCTACAACGGTTGTGCAGCTTCCAGCAGCTCAGCTATGAATCAAAACTCAGCCAAAGCAGTGTAAGAAGGGTTTCCAAATAAAGAAAATCATGAATTGCTGCTGTAAAAAGCCTTGAAATGGGGTCAAAAGCACAAAAAAGCACAGTCTTGCTTTCAGGAACAGCATCAACTTGAAGAAATTTTAGAGCTGGTTATAGTTTTAGAAGAGGCTACAGTTATTTGTAACAGAGCTTCTCTTTGCTACGTCAGCCTCAAGGTGCCTCAGAGAGAGAAGCTGGACTCTGTTGTTACACAACAGTCTTGGTATTAAACATACTCAGAATCCTCTGTCCTTTCTGACAAGAATGTGCTGAGAGAAATTAACAGGGTTTCCTGCCTTTCACTGCCTTAACATCTGTGTTGTACTGATTCCCCCTTTTCAAGACAGGGAGACTCAAAACTTGGCTGAAAATATCCAAAAAGTTGTTCTGGGGATTATGTGTCTGATTCCCACTAAGCCAGAACTACCCTGGAGAATTTCATGGATTATAATGTCACCTTATTGTATAAAAAGACAACAAAAAGACAGATGATTAGTTAAAATAAAAAAAAAATCCAAATAGTGTTAGAAAAAACTGTAATGTGCAGTGTCTTTGTTTTTTCTTCCAGCACACAAAGCACGTCCATCTTACACTGAAAGGGTTAAATCAGGCTTTAAAAGCAGCACCTTGCTGAGGGAAGCAGCTGGAATGACACAAATATCAAAGGGGAAAAAAAAACCAAAACCAAAAGCAAATCCAATTTATTTTACAGTCCCAGACTAAGAAGCAGGAGCGTAACAAAACTTCAGCTGAAAGTGCTCAATGTTCTTTAGTTTAAATATAAACCCAGAACAAGTCAGCTTGAAAAATGCTATTTTTACCCCTCTTGTAACCTTTGAAATGCTTAGCAGAAGACAGGCAATGCCAGGCAGACGGGTTTGTAAAGGCAACAGCACTCTTTATTCCCACTGGAGGAATGCCCACAGCTCCATCTCCTACCTCCCACCCTGTCAGGAGCTCAACACGAGGCCCATTCCCTTTTCCCAACTGTGCCAGGCACAGGAATCCCTTTTGCAAAGAAAGGAATTCCAGCCTACTGCCCCTTGTGCAGGAGAGTCCCCATTCCTGCAGCACCCAAGAAGTTGTTTTTAGGGATGCAAGTTGTCCCAGGGAACAAAAGCAGTGTGTAAAGGCCATTCCTAGTGTGCACTGAAGGAACTGTAATCATTTCCTATGTAAAACAATGGATTATTCGTTTAAAATAGGGTTCCAAGTTTCCAAGTGCCCCGCTGGTTATGATCAAGTCCATTTTATAGTGATTTTTATACTGGTTAATTAATAGTTGGTCACCCAGAACCGCCCTGTTTAACCTGAGGAACAGGAGCAGTGTTAGGAGCAAGCCCAGAGCAGCTGTACCAAAGGTTCCTCCAGCCCTGCCAGCCAGAGCAGAGGGATATTGCTCACATTTAACAACTGTAAGGCTTTCCTGTGGCTGTTCATCGTGTACCTGTGGAGTGCACTTGAGAGTCACAGTGTGAGTACCGTAAACACCGAGAGAAGTGCAGATAGAAGAGCTACAAAGATCCTGTATGGCCAAAAACCTGAGGAAAGCTGGTTAAAACAGACCTAGGAATCGTTACAAGACCAGTTTGATGAGTGTAGGCCTAGTGGCTTGGTTTAAAATCAATAAAAATATTCAGGTAAAAAAATAGATGTATTCACATGAAGGACAAGCGCTGGGGTTTTAAAAAGAAACACACATTTCCCTTGCAGAATTATAACTTCTCTTCCAACAAGGACACATGAAAATCTCACCTGAATTCTTTTTCCTGGCTGCATTTAGCACCCACACTCAGCCATGCATACCAAGATATCCCAAAGAAGCACCTATATCTATCCCTTAATTTCTTGCTGCCCCCTGACCAGGGGAACGAGCTGGTTTGGAATCTCTGCAGAAACTGCTGCTGTACTGGACAGATGGTCCCATTTCAGCATCTAAAATTTTACTGGCTACTTGTTTTGTCCTTTTTCAGAAAGCACTAGTTTAATCTGGAGCTTAGATGAGCTGTTCAAGTATAAAATTATCCCTCTTAAGCCACAAATCTCAGTAACTAGAGGAGAGATAACCACAAAACTAACAGAAAACATCTGTCAGCATGAAGAACTACCGTGTGTGTGTACAGGCAGGGAGATGCTCTCCCATGAAACATCTGGAAAAACAGGCAATGGCTTTGAATTATTGAGAAATAATGAAGCAGATGAGTATTTCTTTGGTAAGTAATGAAGTTTCTCTCCTGAACTCCCCCATATTATCAGGCTTTCAAGCTTTACTGCAATCCTACATCCTGATGCAAAGCAAAATTTCCATCTGCTCTTCAATAAATAAGTTTAGATAAAAACATTTCCTTCAAAGCTAAGACTGCATGGCTGGGGAGCCAAACGTGGAGTCCTGTGATCTAGAACTCCCCAAACAAAAATACATCAGGGTTTTGCAGCTGATGCCGACTTAGAAGGCAGGTGAAATGTTTCCTTAAGCAATCCAGGAGTGGTCTTCAGACTGACAGCTCTGAAAACCTCCAGTTTTATACAGATTTGGTCATCCCTGCTTTAGGAGGTCACTTAGGAGCTATTTTTCCACAAGAGAGAGCTGTAGAACTTGCTGAAGCTCTGCATCTTCCTTTTCCCGACGCTGCTTCTCCTGTTCCTCCTGCTCCCGCACAGACAATTCCAAGGCAAGCTGCAAGTCTTTCTCAAAGTCGGAAGCTTCACTGGAGCTGTTGCTGTGGGACTTTGCTGATCTTGACAGAAAGCTCTCCTGCAGTGCCCTAATGGAAAAGAACAACTTTGAGAAGTAAAAAAGACAGAGCCTGTCTCATATTCCCTTCAATGATCCTTCCTGGGAACTGCTTCAGACTCACAAACACAAAGATCTCTCTCAGAGGGGAGAAAACAGTTTGAGGATATGAGAGCAGCTGTTCCAACACCTGTAAGATCTTGCATAGATACCAACAGCTATATTTTCAATGGGCCTCTAAAAGCATCCTCACCTGGTTTAAAGGATTTTCCATGTACAGAAGAACCCAGAAGATTCAGTTCTTGTTTTTGTGGCACTTAACTACAGAAAGACTCCACAGACACCAGAGCCCATTTCTAAGTGTCCATTAAATCTATGTTTTTAAGGATCACATAAGGATTTTGAAAGGAAAGAAGAACTGCCTTGAAGTATGCAGCCTCTAATAACCAAACTTTCAGTGCAGAGGGACCAAATTCCAAGTTTTAAGAACAGAAGAACTGGGTTTGTATGTTGGGTAAAGAATCTGTTTTGTGCACAGACCAGCCCCACAGCTGGAAAGAACTACACAACATAAACCAGGGAGGCTCAGTTTGGAGCTCTTGTTTCTTGGAAAAGCTGGAAGAAACACAAGAAGAAACCTCAAGTTTTGTGCATTTGCTACTCATATACACCAAAAAAAACCCTGCCAAATTGCTTCATGCTGGGGGTATTTTTACTCTGTTGCTGCATGGTTTGATGTGAAAAAAGGTACTTACTTCTGATACTGCATACTGAAGTCTGGGGAATATGCAACTGCTCCGTTGGAATGCACCCCCAATTCCTAGAGATGGGGAAAGATACAATTCCACAGCTGTTATCAGACCTGCAGAGTAACTCACTGAAAGTAACCCTCAAACCACCTTTATTTCTTCTTTGAAATACATTATTTTTATCTCCTAAAGTCTTAGAAAAACTGATCCTACACTGGTTTCCTTCAGCTCTTGCTGCACAGTTCCTTGCCCAAGCTGCCACTGCACAGACCCCAGAACTTACTTTATTTGCACCAGATTCCAGCAAGCTCTGCTGGATGGCAAACTGCATGATCTCATTATCCTCATCCTGCACGTGGATGTTCCTGCCGTCATCCTGGATGTGGTAGGATTTGGGGATCTCAAACACCGACTGGTCAACCTCAAAATTAGCACCTACAGAAGGCAAATAAAGTAAAGTGCTCTGTTTGTAACACGATGTAACTGAAAAGATTCTGATGAATGCTTTTGCAATAACACATTGCAGCTCCCCTGTTCCATTCCCTGCAGTTCAGTTCTCTCTCCTCCGTGCATTCCAGGGACAGGGATGTAAAAAGGTGGGATCCCTGCACCTTCCCACCCCTTACCTGCATCACTCTGTGCACCTCCAGGAGAGGTTCTCTCAGCTGTCCTGCAGCTGTTGACATTTTCAAAAGTAATTCGGGCATTCAGCACGTGAAACAGGGGAATTTCTGTAAGAGTACAAGATTTCTGTCAACATGAGAACTCCTATTCACTTCCACACCCACATCAAACCCTTACACCTTTATGGGATATATTCTACAACAGCTTCCTATAATGACAAAGCACAGAGGAACTCGCTTCACCAAGAAGGTGGCTTTAGTTATTTTCAGTCTCTCTCTAAATCTCTTATTCTAAAATAAAGTTTGCCAAATTTAAGGCATTGAAGCTAAGAGGAAAGGGGCTGACAATAGCTCATTCTCACAGAAATGACATGGTCTTTAAAATGTTATTTCTGGATTGACTCCAGATGTACAAAAGAAGGTTTTAGGTAGCAGTGAGATGAGTAAGAGATCAATGTGATTTTTTGTAAATAATATATTCCAAAACCAAAGGAAAAAAATGGCCAAGATGTTACAGTAAAATTTGCTAAATATTACCAATTTTGACAGGAAATCCTGGTGGAAATTCCAGAGTGATGAAATCCTTAAGTCTGG